CAGGGACAGGGACAGGGACTGGGACAGGGGTAGGGACAGGGACAGGGGCAGGGGCAGGGACAGGGGTAGGGACAGGGACATGAAAAAGGAGCAGCTACAGACTTGGACTAAGGAGACCATAACCCTAAGTACACTGTGAACAACTTAAATCTAGCATGGTATTGAAAGAACACATTATGACCGAGGGTAATATGTTTCAATGGCTAGCTATTAGGAAATCTATAATTAATCATATCCAAAGTCAAAGGCAGTCAAAAGAAAAACCATTTGATTCTCTTGCTAGACACTGAAAAGCCTTTTGAAAAAACTCCAAAATCCATTTCTTGGAGGGAAAAAACCTCAATAAAATAGGAACCAAATGGTATTTTCCTCTTACAATGAAGAATATCTCTATAAAAAGAAAGAACAGCACCGTTCTTTTCAGAATGAGGAGACATTAAGTCAGGAAAGAGAAAAAAGGGGGAAAGAAAGGAGGCAATATTAGACTCAGACGATATGCAGGGTGTTGTCAGTGGAAGGCAGAAGGCAGAGAAGGATGGGGAAAAGGGATATTTTATGCAGATATCCTTCAGGTGACACCAAAAAAATGGTAAGGATTAATTAGTTTGATAAAGGAGTTAGTACCAAGATGTACAAACTTAAAAACTTCCTTGTGTATATCAGAGATGACCAGGCAGAAAACAGAGTGGTCCTCAGTGAAAGAAAGGACCAAGCCTCGCTGACGTCAGAGTCTTAAATAATTGCAGAGAGATGTTCTTGGATTCTTTTAAGAAACGTGATGTGCCAAAGGCAGCCGTACATTTAATGTAATTCCAATTTAAATCAGGTGGCTGGGGTTCGACAAAACAATTCTGAATGTATGCAGAAAGGAAGGATCTGTACAAGGGCAGCAAGGACAGCTGTTGAGGAAATGCGGAAAATGATAGCGACGAGTGTCCCTTTGCTCAGTCAGACACTGCCAAGAGTTCTGATACCAAGTGGAAGGTGAGGGGTTCATCTCCAAGCCTGCCACACCACATTCATGACCGTGGTAGGTGTTGCAAAGCTCCCTCAATTCAATACTGTGCAGCCGGTTCTTCTGCAATGCCAGCCAAGTGTGGGGCACCATGCGCGCCGCAGTGAACGAGTGCCCCATCCCTGTGCTCACGGGGCTTTTTGGCTGAGCAAGGTGACAACACTTAAGCACAGGTGTGAGGCTCACTCCCGAGGGAGTTTTGGGGGAACACTGTCTGGGACGGTGGTCCCAGAAGACCAGGAGAGCAGCCTCCATTTCTCCCCACCTCACACCAGAAAGACTTCCACTCTGGATGCCTGGGCCGCCTGTCTTCTTGTTGGGACAGAGCTCGACCTGGAAGATGGGAACTCAGGCAATGCGTCGGCGTCTCCGTGGTGGTTTGTGGACTGGCGTTGACGACCGGCCTTGGCCTTAGCCCTGAGCTTTGATAGGAAGCTGTGGCTTTGTGAGGTTTTCATACTCGAACATCTGTCTCAATCACAACAGGAAAGCACAGTGCCGGGCTCACCCTCCAGGATTTTTTCCGTAGCCCTCAAGGGACCAACGAATTTTCAACTACTAAATAGGTCCCTGATGAGACCTTGAGTTGTCCCCACCTCAGAAGCCTTCACAGACCAATTCAGTGCTAACTTTGAACTGAAGTCTATGGAAATGTTCTAGGACAAAGGAAAACCTGCCTAAAAGTCAAGGGTGTGGATTGAACCATGCATGTAAAAATGCACGACACTTTGGTCTCCGTGGGCAGAGGTTTAAGTGCCCGTGGAAACCTGTTTGCTGCTGCTGCTGCAGTTTCCGGGTGGTGGCCCCTCTCTCTTCCTACCTCTGGGCTAGGGGGTGGGGTAGGAGTGCCCTGTGGTCCTCGTAACTACCTCTGGACCATTCTGTCCTTCTCCAGAAAAGTGCCCAGTTTTGAGTGCCAAGGCCTGCCCCCTCATTCCTAGATCCCTCCCTTCCCACCCTCTTCCTGGGCCCCCCACAGCATCTGCCTTGCTCCTCAGTTTCCTCCTATTTATCTTCGCTGTCACCACCAAAGATGCTTTAGCTCCTCCTACCTTGAGAAAAGGGGGTACGCTTTTTACTCCAACTTCTTCCCCCAACAATATGCCGTTTTTCTCCCTGCACGCACCTTGAGAAGCTGTTCATGCTTCTAACTTCTCTCTTTCACTCTCCCTTGAGCCAATGC